ACCTGCCCCTCTGGGACACACATGCCAGTTCCTGAGGGGCCTTGGAATTTGTGGACATCAAGGACACACCGGGCAGTCCCTCCCAGGCCTTCCTACCCCAGGCCGGAGGACCGACAGGGACTCCTGATCTACTTGTACCCACTTGCTCTGGACACCAGGACCCCATGCTGGCCGTGGACAGCAGCTGACCTCACAGACACTCTGACCTCACTGCCTGCTGAGCTCTGCCATGTCTGCATCCATCTCTGGCCCACTTACTTGGCCTTTGGTCTTTTGTCCTCCCCTCTCCAGGTCTGCTCCTTTCTCTTTGGGTCTTTATCCCCTCTCCGAGTCTCTGTCCCCCTCTTTCTCTGGGTCTCTGTCTCCCCCAACCTCAGGGTCTCTGTCTTCTCTCTCTCTCCGGGTTTCTGGCCCCTTCTCTCAGTGCTTGGCCTCTTTTCTCTGTTGATCACCCCACCCCCACCCCCACCCCCTTCCGTCAATACCCCCTCTCAGAGTCTGCGTCCTGTTTTTGGCAACGAGTGTAGACCAGGTGCTCCCCCGCTCTGGGGCAGGGGCTGGGCACCTGGGGGAAGTGAAAGTGCCGCAAGGCCCAAGTGGGAAGGTCCCTGGGAGTGAGGGGTAGCTGGGCAGTGCCAAAACACTCAGAGCGGAGAGAGAGAGAGCGGAAACCGGAAACTGAGCCTCAGGCAGTACTTCCTGCCTTTGCAGTGGGGCCCTCAGAGGAGGAGGCCTGAGAGGAGCCAGGACTGAGCCCGGGGCCTTGGCAGTTAGATCCCAGGTTTGCAGTACCTTATCATCTCTAGGTTTGAGCTGGGTGGGTAGCAGCCTCTGAAGTCTCCCCTGACTCCCCGCAGAATCCCCATTCTTGTCAAGTCCCAAATCTTCAGATTTCCAGTGTGTCGGGGATGTTCCTCCCGTCATGACATCCACCCAGGCCCTAGAAAACCAGCCCCTCTTAGAGACACAGCACCCTCTCTCTCTCTCTCTCCTGAGAGATCTCATCTACTGTCCTTTTTAAGGCTCCAAGTGCAATTTATTATTGTCATTAAAAATCAATTCAAATTAATAGTATTCTGGTTTTTGATTCTGGGCTCCCCCCAACTTTACGGAGGAATAATCGACAAATATATTTGTATATCTATAAAGTGTACATGATGATTTGATAAACAATATACATCGTGGAATGATTATCAAACTCAAGATAATTCATAGGTTCGTCATCTCATATAGTTAACATCTTTTTTTTTTTCCTTTGGTGGTGAGAACACTGAAGATCTACTCTTAGCAACTTTCCAGTACTCGGTACTGTATTATTAACTATAGTCACCACGCTGCACATGAGATCCTCAGAACTTATTCTTATAACTAAAACTTTGTACCCTTTGACCTATATGGAGCTTCCCATTTCCAGACCCTTTCAACCACCATTCTACTGTTACTATAAAGCCTTTTTTTTTTTTTTTTTTTTAAGATTTCACATAAATGAAATTTTGTCTTTGGCTAATTTCACTGAGCATAATGCTCTCCAGTTTCATTTACGCAAACAGCAGGATTTCTTTCTTTTATGCTGAGTAATGTTCCATTATGTGTGTACGTGGAAGGGAAAGGGGGGCAGGGCACCTGGTCTGAAGCGGGGAGCGGGAGAAGCGGTGGGGCATGCGAGGGCGAGGACCTCTGCGAGCGCTGGGGGATGCAGAGTGGCAGACCGACCGCTGGGTCACGTGGGAGACACGTGCGAGACACGTGCGAGAAGGCCGGCGCATGCGCAGGATTTACTTAAAAAAAAAAAAGCGGCACCTACGGCCGCCGAGCGAGGATCTCGGAGCGAGTGAGCCTCGCGATACCTGACGGGGCCTGAATTGGTCGCTAGACTTCTCACTTGAGGCTGCTTCACCCTCGTTTTCGCCTGACGGAGCAGATTGAAGAGCCTGGGCCTCGAGATTCGGGTGAGGTTGCCTTGGCCTGGGGAGCCCCCGAAACGTTCACGGATCTGGGGTGTGAGGCTGGACGTCCCTCCCGAGGGGTAACAGGCCACTGGAGCAGAGCCTCCTGGCCACCCCGGGCTCGGTGGAGCTGAGGGATCAAACAGGCCTGAGAGGGCCCTCATTTTTTCTCCCCTAGAACCCAGGAAGCTGGCTCCGGTCCTTTTCTGCTCACCGAATCCAACTCTGAGCCAATCCCAAGGCCTGGCCTTCGCGGGACTCGGTCACCAGCCTCCCCCCCGCGCCTTGAGGACACGCGTTGGTTCAAGCTCCCAGACCTTGGACCCCGGGTCCAGCCCCATCACCTGCCTGGTAGGGACAAACAGTTATTTCCTGCGCTTTGAGGAGCCTGGACACCGGCTCCTTCCTTTACTTTTTGGAAATTATCATTCCAGAGTAGGAGGTAAACGGGCCTTGCGGGGCGACCCGAGCACTCGCCAGAGGGCGCGAGCCCGGGAGAGCAGATGCGGGAAATGACGATGGAGGACCCTGCACGCTGGGCCACCACCAGGCCCTCTGCGGCCTGGGAAGAAGGGTCACCAGGGGATCCAAGGGGCTTTAGAGATGTCACAGGTGGCCGGTTTGCAGAACCTCGGTTTGCCAAACTCATTTCTCTCACTGAGGGATCGGATTTACCAATTTACCCCAAATCTCCAAAACTTGTTTTTTTAAGAAATACAGTGTTCGAATGTGGTCAAGAAAGGCGGATGTAGTTTTTGGGTACAATTTTCCGTCTTTTTGGTGGAACACAGAGTCAGGGTCAGTGTTAACAAGAATTATGAGGAACGGAAGTACTTGTTATTTCGAAGTGTTACATTTCGGTTGCCGGCAAGATATCTGTTAGTAGTGACGATTTGTGCTTCTTGGGTAAGATGCCAACTATTAGGTAAATGTTTCCAGCCTCCTCAACTTGCTTAATTTTTGAATGAATTGAATTAAAATCTCTGTTTTTCTGTTTACTGCGCCCATTCCCCCCACCCCCCCAAAAAAGGAAAGTAAAACCCAAATGAAAGAAATCACTATGGACATTTTTTTTTATTTAATT